AACAAATGAAATTTTTTCATTTGGCTAATACATATTAAAAATAATCTGTATCAGTAATTTTATCATATATATACTAATTTAAATTTGATTGCTTGCTGTTTCATTTTAAAAATATTTTTTTGGATAAAAAAATTTTGGTTAACTAACAATATTATTTGTAAATATAAATATATATATATATCATGTATAAAATTTATCAAAAAAAAGTAAATAAATAAAGCTTGGAACTACTATTTTAGCAAGAATGAAAATCACAAAGAAATACAACTTGAAAACATGATAAACATTGAAGAAACTATCAAAGAAAAAGAAAAAACCATTAAAAGGCTAAATAGTAGAATCGAAATGATATCAATTGATCTATTGTATTATAAACAAAGATTTAACAATATATTAAAAAGAAAGATCAAAAAATACATCTTGGATTTAGTTGACATAGTTATAAATTTATTTCAACTAAACAATATATTCTTTACATTAGCATTGAATCAGTTAAAAAGATATGTTAAAAAACAAATTGAAGAATTTGGCAATTTTAACCTAGAAATGTTAGATTACTTATATACTATACAGACATTTCGTATTTTTGAATTTACACTATGTCAAATATTTTTTTTATTAATATTTGTAGAATACACTAATTATAACCATTATATAATAAATATCATATTAATATTAAACAAAAAATCAAATAAATCAAACATATTATCAATATCGTCATCATCCTCTACATCATTAAGTTTTCTTGAAATTAAAATATCGAATACCTTTTGCAAATATTCTTTCTTGTCATCATCATTATCATATTTACTAATCTTCTAAACTAATGTCTCTTCAATTTTCTAAAAATTCGCTGCTGAAATCTCACTAGGAATTGCAATGATTTTTTATATTTAGCTATAATCAACTCAATATTTTCCCTATTATTGATAACTTCAAGCATGAACCCAATGGGTTATTAAGAGAGAATCTGATATTCTTAATAAGCTTTGGATAATACTTGATCATTTGATAATTTAGATTTAGCAAAAGGCAAATTCGCTCAGTGCCCTTGATCCTTTTCTTTGAAATAAGCTACACGTAATTATCAATATTTTTTGATAACTCTCTAGCCTCATCAATACACTTTTTTGCAACAGATTTTGCCAATAAATCTTTATTCTTTGCACCAAAAATCCAGATATTGTAAAACGCATCTAGTAACAATTTTCCATTTCTACTATTTTCATACGTGGCATTGATTATCTTCTTCACATGATCGATTTTAATGTGTGATGTTAACTGCCTCCTATTATTTCTTCTTAAAGTTTTCTTATACTCACCTACTATGGATGAAATCTGTACATTTACATTTCCAGTGTAATTATGAGTTTTTCTAGCCCTATCAGTCATTCTAGTAGGAAAATATTCTTGAAAAGGATCAGCAGGTGAAGGTCTCTTTCCAACTGGTTAAGTATTTAATACATCCATTCGATATTAATGCAACTAATGCAATTTCTCGAGCGAACATAGTAATGTTAGATACTGTTGATCAATTTCAGAATCTATTTTTCTCTTACAAGTATTTTCTAATTTATCAAATTTCTCCTCGAGATTAATCGCAAATTCAAAATTATCATATTTTTCATTAGCATATCTGATCTTCCTCTTATTTACTAAATCCTCAACATTATGACCCCCAGTCAACAAGGACTGGTTTAACCCCAATATATCTTTTGCGAGGTCAGATCATTGTCAAAATCTTGTAAATCTTGATAGAAATCGATTAGATCAGAATTGCTATCATATAACTGATCTTTGGTTTCAGCCTGAAGCATATCCAAGCAATGATGATGTATAATATACAAATCATCCTTCTTTAAATTATCAGATAAAAATTTATCTTGTATCTCAGCAATACGCTTGTCATAATACCCCCTATCCTGCAACATGCTCAATATATATTTATTTTTTATACTATTCTTAAGATTATTAAATGTCTTATTAATTAACTTGCTCAATTACTCTTTTCGAAGACGTTGAAGCTTTTCTTTTTAAGAATCGCTCAAAAACATATCTTTCTCGATCAATATATTATACATCTTTCCATCTACTACATTACCAATAAGGGCTCATTCAAGCTTACTCTTGAACTGTTGATATTTCTGCATACCACATAAATTCCACTTTTGCTCATTTCTTATATGTTCCAATTCACTTCGCTATGTATCAGATAAATATTTTGCTAAAATTATTTCGTCTCTCCAATCAACATCAATCTTGACTACATTATTTCACTGAGTATACCTTGTCAGATATGATCATACTCTTCTCACTGATGAATTTCTGATATCTTATTGGTAATTCTTTTTAAAAGAGAAGGTATCTGTTGCAATGATAACACTTTATCATCGGCAATGGATGCATGTAAAGCATTCAACTCAATAATGGAATTTGTACTATCAATCAAATTAGAATATCGATTGTAATGCTCTACACCCAATTGAGCTAATTTTTCGCATCAAATTTTATGTAAATCATTTTTCAATCTAGGTATTAACCTGGAATTATCAATTTTCAAAAAAATCTCTTTTTTATCAATAAGCTTAATGGCATCTTCACATGTAATTGCTTCTATTTCATGTTTTAATTGATTGTATAATTCATTTTCTTCCATAGATAGTTCAGAATTTGGAACTGAAGTCAAGGTCGGTTCTAATAGATTATCTATTTGTTCAGGGTTATCAATTTGTTCTTCATTATCAGTTGGTGTGATTTCATCTAAATCATCTATCTCAACATCTTCAGGAATCTTTGGCCAATTGATATTTTCAGGATCCTTCGGTTGAATATTTACTCTTAACAATTCAAGGTTTTCCCAAAAAAACTGCTCTACTGCATATGCAAATGCCATTGTCAACTCAATCTCTGAATCCTCATAACTCTTAGGATAATTTAATTGTTTTCTTTTTTTTTTATGATAACAACAAGAAACATATTAATTATTGAAACCAAATTTACATTTACAACTCATTGTATTAATGTTAAAATTTAAGATAATGTTGTTTATTAATAAAAAAAAGAGAAAACATGATATTTATATATTTTTAAAATAATAAAAACTAATTGTCCTCATCTACATTAACAACTTGATTAACCTGAATATTATTGTTATTATTGGCTAGTAAAATGGTAAATTCCTCTCTAAGCTGTTTAATAAGAGATCTACCCAATTTCATCTTACCCTCAAATGACTCATCATAACAATAAGCAATCTCAATCGACCCATCGCTTATGTAAACAGGTATGCTAGTCTGTCCTGCCAGAAATGAAAATTGTTCCCCTAGCAAATAAGACATCTGATTAGGTATAAATTTTCCGTCATTGTTAGGAAGTTTGGATCGAAGTCTACATATCTTGAAGAAACCAGGCATGTAATCAACCGAGATGATAAATGCAAAATTTGCAGTATCAAATATGATGCTATTACTCTCACCCTCTTTCTCAAGTTTACAAACCCTCATCTCATCTTTTGAAAATTTATAACACATATAGAAATTTCAATCTTTCAACAAACAACCTGTGTTATCATAATCAATCTCTTCCACATGATGGGCCAAAACATCTAACTTATCGTTTCTAATCTTTGGATCATTCAAATTTTCAACATTATGAAACACATCATCAGGTACAATATTTCGAACAGATTTCTTAGCTAAAGCCTTATCACAAATACAAACTAAGTAAAAATGTAATCGCATCTTTGATAATAATAGAGTCAACAAAGTACTCCTCCTGACTAAAGGTAACTTGTAATGATCTACCAATTGATCAGGTCTTAACTCAGCTTGCTGAGGAGGCTGTTCTTCTTTATCTTTGTTTTGAATAGGTAGTGTAAAGGGGATAATCATCTGCTTCCAAGGAGCAATACCAATCAGATTACCAATTTGTCTGGTATGAATAGAGGTGAATCTAATATGAATTGAAATGTCTGAAAAAACAAGATAAGTCGAAAGCCATTTATCATTTTGTTGTAGCAAATACCAAGCCCAAAATTGCTTATAAAGTGTATCATTATAGACCAAAGTTTGTGCCTTATCATTAAAAATCATAGGGCCCAGATTTATTTGATCAACTTTTGAATTAGAAGATTGCAATTGCTTGCATATGTTATATAATGATTCATCGCCAACTATGCATATTCCAATTGAGCAAACCTTTTTAGGTTTCAGTTCAGATACTAGCAATGAAGCAACTTTTCATTTGCTCATAATATATTTTTACCACAACAAGTACTAGAAAAATAAACCTTGGGTTTTCTTTTTACCAGTAACTATTTTTTTGCTATCTGATTTTTTTATGTTTTTAGTTTGCTAGGATTTCTTGATTGTTGAACCTTTTTTCTTAGTTACTTTTTTGCTTTTTGTGCATGCCAGGTTTAAATAATTTTATCGTTGTAAGTGTCTAATGCCCTAATAGCTTCCTGGATTGTTAAATGAATATTTGCGGCCAAAAGTGTAATGTAGCTTTTTAAGATACACAAGAAATCGATCAACTCGCTATTGCAAAGTCGATAAAGTACAACAGATACAATAAAAATAAAAAGTAAGTAGCAGATATTGAAATTAATATAGGTAACGTACAAAAAAAAATTAGATATTTGTTTTAGTAAAAATAATAACCAACAGGGTATTTATACTTTTATTTTAAAAAAAAACTCAAAGCTTTATATTCTCAAGAATCATTTTATACAATTCAGAATCGCTATTCTTTACTCCTAAACTATCAATCTTTTTGAGTAATACCCGTGTTTGCTCCTTATTCAAAAGTTTTAAAGTTTTCTTAAATTCTTATAAATCATTTGTTTTTGATTTATTATTACTATTTATCAAATAACCCAACAACTAATTTACCATATTATTCTCTGAGGTACTTTTTGCCTTACTAGTACTAGTTACATAGTCTAATAACTTATTCGTCATATTAATATTACTAATGGCTAGCATCTTGATCAAATCATCCTAACTTTGCAACCTCTTGTTATAGTTGGCCTGTATGGAGTCAATAACCTTTCTATATGCATCATGCGTATCTTTTGATTTTTTTACCTCATTATTGTTCATAGTTTTTATAATATCAGCATGATTTCTGCTCAACCCCATCACCATCTTTGTTTGGTTATCACTTAAATTCTTGATGACTTCTTTATGATTATCACTTAGATTTTTGATAGTTTTTTCATGTGAACTGGTTAAATTTTTTACAGTCTTTGTCTGATCATTACTTATAGATTTAATAAGCTTTGCATTATCATTATTTAGTTTTTGTATTGATTTATTTTGCTGGGTTGCCAAAACTTCTACTATCTCCTTTTGATTGTTCGCAAGGGCCATGACAATTTTTGCATTTGTATAATTCGTATACTTTAATATAGCAGTATTGGAAAAAGTGATCACACCAGAATACCTATACTTATAACCACCACAAGGAGTAGTAATATCAGAGCTCTTTAACTGTTGCTTCTTCTTTTTAGGAGATTTATTAGATAAGGACATTGCTTTTTTTTTAAATCTGAATTATATATTTCTTTAATATATTATATTTTATTTAAAAATTTATTTATCATAACAATAACATATATATATACTTATGTTTTTTAAAAAAAAAAAATATTGAAGATTTTTTAGCCATGTTAAAAAATGCAACAAAAAATATTAGCGATTCCTGAAAGGAATCACCTATCATTACAATCTGATTAAATAGCTATTCATGTATCAAATGCCGAAATGATTTCGCCATGTGACTTGCGAGTTCTTGATCTTTTTTTAGCTACAGCCTTTTTTCTTTTCATTTTTGCCACACGAGGTTGCTTAGTATTTGCACCTTTAGGCTTATGCATATTCATATAACGAGGTGTAGCTCTGGTACCGTAAAACTTTTGAAGATAGATACTGCCAGGATAACGCTTGGTAATTTGTCTGTTTCTGTTCAAAATAGGCACATACCGACTAACCCTAAAATTTTAAATATACAACTTGTCCAAACAAGACCCAATCATTACAGCAGGTTTAACTTCAACAATCTTAGCAGCATTAATCAAAAGAACAAACAATATGTAAAACATAAACAACAACTTCATTTTTTTTTTACTTTTAAAATACACTAGATAAAAGAAATTTATATTTATTTATTCAATTTTAAACTATATTTATACAACTCAAAGCATATTTATACTATCTTTAACTTATAATTTAACTTTATTATAATTATAATCAAAAATTTTTAAAAAATACAACAAAAAAATACAACAGCCCCATAAAAATTCTCCTAAGAACCAAAGACAAAGAGAAAAAAGTTCAAAATAATCCTTTCGTTCCCAATTTAAAAAATTTTCATAGTTGTTAATGATCACTAATAAAAAAAATAAAATAAAAAAAATTAGCTCATCAAGTAAAAGCATATAGCCGTAATGAGTTATCACTAAAACTTGGTCTATCAGGGCGTTTTCCATGCAGAGCTTGAGGTATAGTTGGTTAATATCAGAAATGGTAACTAAACTATTTCTATTAAATACAATATACAAGTATAGCTTATAATCATGCATACAAAGACACTAGCTAGCTTCTTGGCTATAAAAACCGGGTTTGTTTTCAACACAAGCTATACTACTAAAAACAATTCAATGCATGTTGATTGTAGCTGTAGCTCTTTGGAGGTATTGTGGCTTAACTCCTGATAGCCTCTAGACTGCAAGAGACCAAGACTTACCAAAATTCTACTGTTTCTTGACAAGAAAAGATTGTAAACAAAAAAATGACAAATGTAAACAAAGAATATTCTGATTGTAGATCTTTATTTAAATAAACTAAAAATAGAATGATGATGATCACATAATAACAATTGATTAACAAAAATGATGATCACATATATATGATGATGATTGATTAAATGATAATATAAAATTCATATAATGACTAATTCAATATGCTTAAAAGTTTCATATCAAAAGATCTAGGCTGAGGATCTCTCTTCTTATTGAGTCTCGATTTGCATTCCTTCTTTCAGTTAATGCATTATTGACAAGGTCTTTTGAGAGAGCATTTGATCTTTTTAAGTCTGCAAAATTCACATGCAGCTGTTATTCGTTTTATTCCTTGCCTGGGTATTTTTGAATAAATAATGAAAATGTTTCAAAATCTTTGCAGATTTAAATATCTTATCTGGATAAACTCAACCTGGAAAAACCTTGTTTGAATGAGTATATATTTAAACTCAATCAAACTTAAGTAGATTGATTAACGTTGGAATATTCTTATTGTTTCAAATCACTAATAAGAATCTTTAGAAAAAAAAAATTTTGCTCCTTCTTTAATATATCTATAAACATGTTAAATTTTTATTCATTCGTGTTAACTATTCAATTATTCAATCTTCTAATAAATCTCCAAATATGGAATGATCTCTGAGAAGAAAATTTGCTCATTATTTGTATCCAAACATGTTAAATTTTTATTTGTTCATGTTAACTATGACTAAATTTATATTTATTCTAATAATTAGTAATTTGATTTTTTCTCACATGCTTATCAGATTAAACAAAAAAGTTGTATGATAACAATTGTCTGATTCAGCCTTATTATGATTTGATTAATAAGAATTTTTAAGATATAAGATCCATGCGTGTTCGCAGCTCTTGAAAAATCGCATTTTTGCTAGCCCATTACATACTTTTTCAAATCATTTACATTTTAATCTTGATCGACTTCACCATGTCTTATCTATATCGTATTACTCGTTCTGGTTACTGATTTGCTCCAAATCAAGAGGAGCACTATTTCGAAACCTTTTCAGATACTACTGAAAGTAGTGTATCCTTAGAAACTGCTTCCGATAGACCTTCTATATATGAGGAGGCTACTCGCTCAGGTATTTAATAGCTCACAATTAATATTAGAAACTCATCTTCCAAGTTTTAAAATTCAAATTAATATAATAACAAAATGTCTACTCAAAACAACAATACTTTTGCTACTGAAACTCTTGTCTATGAAGAATTTCAAAATCAAGATGGTCTTTAACGTGTCAGAGAAATTTTCACTGATTATGAAATAAGACTAAATAATTATCAACATAATGTTGAAAATTATACAACAAGAATCAATAGTTTGGAACAAAAAAACCAAACTTTAACAACTTCAATTAAAGAATTAAAAGACATCATTGGTAAATATTTAATTCTATTTTCTATTTTAACATATGTATAATATACTAACTTAATTTTCCAATATGTATTAGTTTTTTTAAAAAATGCTGTATTCTTTTATAAAATTTTATTTATTATTCTTTTTACAGTATGCTGTTTAGCTGCTTGGTGGTATTTTGATATTGTTTAAGAAAATTATCAACTTTATAGAGAAGCTGCCGAAGTTGATGTAAAAACTCAACAGTAGAATCAAAATATTAAACGTATACAAAAATTTGTATACGAATACTTAGAAGATCAAAAGATCTTTAAAAATAATTAATTTATTTTTAATTCTTATTGTTCATAGAAAAATTGATTAATGATTTTTCTTTAGTTTACTTATTTAGTTTTTACTATTTTTATTTTTAAATATTTTTATTTTATTTCTTTAATCAAGAGTGCATATACTCTCAATGAGAATATTTTTCAGACAGTTACTAAATAGCTAAATCGATAGGCTTGTTATCGATACAACATTAATATCGCCTTTAATTGGCATAAAGGCAAAAAATTATTTATTTTTATTTAATTACTTCAAATTCATGACAGTTTTTCTCGTTAACTGTTGTAATTATTAATTGTTTTCCCTTGTCATGGTTTATTGTGATGTCTTAATTATAATAAATCACGACAAGGTAAAACAATTTACTCTAATTATATTTAATAAAATTCACTTTGTCAAAACAAAATCTAGTATTAAATGAATTAAGTTTCATATTAAATTTTTAATGGAAATATTAAACAAACATCTAAGTTCAATAAAAAATTAAAATATTGATTATTGAAATCTCATACTATTATTGTATTTGGAAAAATTACATAATATCAGAAATTCAGAGATTTTAAATTTATTTGTTTAAAAATAAAGCTGACCCAATTCACAGAATTACCAAAATTTACTTAAAATTTTTTGAAATTACTAAAAAATATATAAAAGAAATACCTGCTACTCATAAATCATTTTTAAAAAAAGCTATTCGAAAACTATCCAGCAAAACAAACCAAAAAATGGTCAACTTATTTGCATCTCCTGAAAATAATAGATTTCGATATCTTCGCTTGTTTAAAGAAGAACACTGGTAAGAAATTGCAGAACATTTAAAACAAAATCCTACTATTGATGAAGTAGTAAACCTTGCATTGCAATGGAGAGAAACTCTGTTTGAAGGATGAGTAAAATTTATTCAAATAGATAATGCAAACAATGAAGGAAGCATAGATATTGAATATCATCCAGATTGGGAGATTCCATATTGTGAATGTAGAAGACCGCATACGTATCAAAATGGATGGTGGACTGTGAAAAGTTTATTATATTATTTCTATAATTACTTAAATCTTAAAGATTATAAATTTATGTAATTTTTTATAAGTATATTTTTTTAAAATAAAACTATATAATTTATTCGAAAAATTTAATAAAGTTATAGTAGGGTCAACCACAAGGTATAAAAATAATTACAATAAATATATATTATCATGAACTAGAACTCATCAAATAAGCTAACTAGAACCAACCAATAGAATTTGATGAGTTGGAACTAGATATTCTAAGTAGATGTTGTTGCAGGATATACCTTTAGCAAAGTATCAACATTGGCAGGTATATTGTTCAAAAAGTCCTGTGTTTCTTCTAATGCCTCTTTACATTTTTGTTTTACAGTATCATAGTTTATTTTTGATGAATCAAATTCTGGTTTAAGTGAATTGGCTAATGCCGTAGCCAATGCATCTATATCAAGTTTCTTGTTAATTGTCTCAAGCTGTTTCTTTATTGCTTCATGAAGAAATTCATTTTCTCTTTGTAAAGTTGCATATGCACCAGTTAATTGTCCAAATTTTTGAATTGCAGCATCACATTTATTACTCCTAAATTTATTTGTTAATCTCATATTTAAAAAATACAAATTAAAAAAAATACAAAAAAAAAGAAAACATATATATTTAAAATTTCATACAATAATAATTAGAGTCGTAATAAAAATATCTTAAAATAGAAAAAAATAAAAAAACAATTAATACATCATGTAAAAGTAATTTTACTATGAATTTGTTTCCAGTAGAGAGATGGTTAACATTTCTGAAGGTGGTGGTATCTGATCTAGCAACCCTCCCATATCAGATGATAGATTTGGTAAAAAATCCTGAACCTTTTCCAATGCTTCGGTACACGCTTTCTTGTATCAATTTTTAATCTCATCATAATTAATTCTTCTATGTAAACCAGTTCCACCATTACCATCATCATCATCACCATTAC